CCTCTCCCTCCACACTGCCCGCAAGCAGAGGGAGGCGACTCCGGCCTCAGCCAGCCCGGTGAGGGGCTCCCACGGTGCTGTGGCGGACTGAAGGGCTCCTCAAGTGCCGCCAGAGTGGACTCCGAGGCTGAGGAGGCGCTGACAGTGAGGGCTGCTAGCACATTGTCACCTCTCAGTTGGAAGTGACACAGCACAGAAAAGATGGGTCTTGGGAGCCCTGGGGGAAACACAGGGTCCTGGGGCTTTCTGTCCCACTGATGGGTGAGGGCTGGGGTGGAGGTGGATGGGCCAGTGGCCCCTGTGGGCAATGGCCACCTCTGTGGCAGTAGAAGGTGGGGGACTCAGTGGGTCAGGCAGGTCAAAGCTTCTGCAGTCTAGCCTCTATCTGGAGCTGGAGGGGCTCTGGGGGACACAGCGGAGGCCCTTCCTGTCGTCTCTGGACTTTGTTTGCTGCCTGGTGGAGGGCTGGGCAGGTGCCACATGACCACGGCGCTGTGCAGGGGCACCTGGTGAGGGACTCAGTCTTTCCTGAGCCAAGTCACGAGGACTCCCCTCCTCAGTGCCCCCAACGAAAGGAAAGCCCCTGCCGCTTTCTGGCCCTGGGCTCCCATGAAGGTCAGCGATGACAATCGGGCTCTGAAGACAAATTGCCTGGGCTCCTCAGCCACAAAATGCAGCATCTCTTAAGCTGGGGTGCATGTGCCCCCCAGGGGACATCTGGTAATATCTAGAGATGTTTTTGGTTGTCATACCTGGGGCGGGGGGTGTCGGTGGCATCTGGGGGTTGGAGGCCAGGGAAGCTCCATAGCGCACAGGGTGGCCCCACCACAAAGAATGACCTGGCCGGCCGGGCGCGGTGGCTCACGCCTGTAATCCCAGCACTTTGGGAGGCTGAGGGGGGTAGATCATGAGGTCAGGAGATCAAGACCATCCGGGCCAACATGGTGAAACCCCGTCTCTATTAAAAATACACAAATTAGCTGGGCATGGTGGCAGGCGCCTGTAATCCCTGCTACTTGGGAGGCTGAGGCAGGAGAATGGCTTAAACACAGGAGGAGGAGGTTGCAGTGAGCTGAAATCGTGCCACTGCACTCCAGCCTGGGCGACAAAGCGAGACTCCATCTCAAAAAAAAAAAAAAAAAAAAAATGACCTGGCTCCAAGTGCCAGTGGTGCTGAGGCTGAGAACCCTGCTGCAAGGGGGCCTCTCTCATGGGCCACTGTGAGGAATGACTGAGCCCATCCCTGTCAAGCACTCAGCACAGCTCCCAGAGCACAGAGCTAGCTGCATAAATGGCAGTCGCCACCACTAAAACAAGATTGAATCACCTTCACTAACCTCCTGACAGGGCAGCACTTTCTCTTTACAACCCCTGTGCTCAGCAATCCTCCGGGTCCGGATTAGGTCAGAAAGGCTGTTATCGGTGGGGCCACCAGCCCCCTAACCAGCAGGTCAGGGGTTCAGGTCCCAGCCTCTGGGTCACACGTGTCTCTCTCTCAGCCCCAGCTTTATCTATTATTCAAATGGATGAGTTTCTTCTGCAGCCAGGGGCAGCTCAGTTTCAGAGGAAGTGCAGATAAAGTGTCCAAACTTGGATGGAAACGTGGGCTGTGGATCCCTCTGTCTTTGGCAGCTCCCAGGCCTGGCTGGGCCGCAGCTCAAACCACAATTTGAACGGCCGCCTCTATCAATCAAGGGCCAATCAATTACTGGGGCTGGGCTCCATCCAGGGCAGGCTCGGGCCCCCAGGGGGACAATATAGGGGCTGGCTGTGGTGCCAAAGAGTCCATCACCAAGAGGAGGTGACGGGGGCTGCGAGAGGCCAGGTGCTGGGGTGGGAGGTGAAGCCCCCAGAGGTAGCCGTGGAGGAGGCCATTCCCAAGAGACTCCTGGAGAATGGCCATCTGCCCGGTGCCCTGGGCTCTGATGTGGTCTAGTGCAGGGGATCAGCCAGGTTCCAGGGTCAACCTGATTGAAGATGGCCTTGAGGGTTTGTGGATACGTCAACTGTGCTGAGACTGACTTGGGTCCAAACCCCAGCTCTGCCACCTGCTGGCAGAATAACCCTGGTCAAGTCACCTAACCCCACAGACCTCAGTTTCCTCATCTACATCATGGAGATCAAAGAACGCATCTCAGGATGGAGGCAAGGATTAAAAGAGACGATATAAGCAGACTCTTAGCACAGAGCCTGGTCCACAGGAAGCACTTTATACACGCCTACTATGATACTAAAAACCAGTTATTATTATTCCTAACATCCACCTTTAAGATTATTAAAGAGTAAATGAGGCTGGACACCATGGCTCACGCCTATAATGCCAGCATTTTGGGAGACTGAGTTGGGAGGATCACTTGAGCCCAGGAGTTTGAGACCAGCTTGGGCAAGATAGGCAGACCACATCTCTATAAAAAAAAATAAAGGGTCAGGCACGGTGGCTCACGCCTGTAATCCCAGCACTTTGGGAGGCTGAGGCAGGTGGATCACCTGAGGTCAGAAGTTTGAGACCAGCCTGGACAACATGGTGAAGCCCATATCTACTAAAAAAAAAAACCAAAAGAATTAGCTGGGCATGGTGGTGTGTGCCTGTAATCCTAGCTACTTGGGAGGCTGAGGCAGGAGAATTGCTTGAACCCAGGAGGTGGAGGTTGCAGTGAGCCGAGAACGTGCCACTGCATTCCAGCCTGGGCATCAGAGTGAGACTCCATCTCAAGAAGAAGAGGATAACTGGGAATGAAGTTTGGATTAAGCAAACAGGACTGCCTTCTGTATTTGGGTACCTTCTAGTCAAATTTTAAGACCAAGCTTGCACATCATCACCTCCAGGAAGCCATCCTGGATTTCTCCCACCAGCTGACACTAGTTTAAGTGTCCCGTTTCTTTGCTTCCGGTCCATATTTCTGTTTTCAAATGTATACTAGGGAATTTAATGATCTATTTACTGGTCTGTCTCCTGCACAGCTGGGGTCCCCCCATCCTGGATTCCCGGGTCTGGGTGGTGTTGGGCTTCCTGTAGCCCCCACTGCTTGTCAAGTAAGTCAAGTCTTTCCTGAGACTTGCCTTGGCATCACTGGGGTGTGGGAGTCACACCATGGTCCCAACTCCCAGGGGACAAAGTCTGGTGGAGAAAAAGGAGAACTCTTGGGCCAGTCTGAGCAGCTGTAGCCGAGGGCTCTCCAGCGAGGGGTCCAGAGGCTGGGCTGGGGGCACCTCCACAGAACAGGACATTCCCAGTAGCACACCAGGCCAGAGGCCCCTATCACCAGGGTCTGATCCCCCTGGCATGTCCCTCCCTGGCCACCCCCATCATCAGGGTCCGATCCTGCTGGCATGTCGCTCCCTGGACACTGGGTCTGTTTCATCTCGGGCTCCTCTTGGCCTCTTGTCAGCCTCGGGAGAACTCTCTTCTGCTGGATCAGGCATTGCCAGCTGTCCCAACTCCTTCCTCTCTCTGGGCCTCAGTTTCCCCACCTGTCTAATGCAATGAAAGCGTATCCAGCTCTGACCGCTGTGATTCTTTGTAGAAACCATTGCCTTCTTCAAATGTGTGTCTCCTGAGGGTGATGCTGGGGTCTCCTCCTCTTCCTTTACCCTCACCATGCCCAGCACAGGGCTGAACACAGGGGCTGGCTCACTAAACACGTCTCAAAGCAGAGAGCCCCTGCCAACAGCAGACGCGGGGTCTGTGCTGCGGGGTGGGTTGGGGGGGTCCCGACTGGGGAGCCCCTTCCCCAGGAGTGGCTGTCTCTGAGCTTTGGCCATCCTCCTGTGGGGTGGTCTCTCTGGCCTGGGGGAGGCTGCTCTTGGGGAGACCCTGTCTTCCACCTGTAGCTGGGGGCCGTGAGGACCTGCCAGGCCCCTCGGTGGAGGTAGGATCAGAGAAGCGAGTGATTTCATCAGCGTCTCACCTGTTCACAGCTTGTGAGATGGAGTGGGGAAGGTGTCTGATGTGTCCTTAACTCCCATCCCCTCCGGCTTCACACAAGACTCCCCGGGCTCTCCGCCCCCAGCCCCCTGCCTCCCATTAATGCCCCAGGAGGCTCCTTCCTTGGTCCTCTCTCCGGGCCTCCGTTTCCCCACCTGTCTAATGCAGGGTGGGGGAAACTGGCTGGGTGGGGTCTCTCTTTGGCTGCATAGTGTGGAAAGGGGCCGCACCAGAGAGCTGGGAAGCAGCAGAGGCCGCGCAAATCAAGGATCCAGGCGGCCCCGGGAGAAGGAAGTTTATTGCTCTTGCAGGGACTCCCTGTCGCCGCTCCCAGCAACAGGTCACAGCTGCATTTTCTGGAGGAGCAGAGAACAGTGTGAGGGACTCAGGGCTGTGCCACCTTCTGGGGCGGCACAAGGCTCTGCCCAGAGGGTAGGTCCATGGGGGCATGGCCAGCTGCCTTCACATGCCAGCCTTATCCCTGTACAAAGGGTCTGAGCCCCTCAGCATTTCAGGCCATTGTGCAAAGGGGTCTTGGAACACAGCCTGTCCCCAGTGGGGAAGCCCCCAGCCCAGGTGACCCTCTGTTCCCCTACTCTCAAGATGATAATGGCCATCCACACCATCCCTCTCCTCTGCTGGGCCATAGCCTCAGAGGGTCAGGTTTTGGGGGAGACTGGTGTGGGGCCTGGATGGGGGCATAAGTGCTTGATGAAGGCAGTGGATGGATGGATGGAGGAGTCGATGACTGTTTTCCTTATTGGGACCCAACTCAAGGCCTGCTACTGGAAGCACTCAACCAATATTTTTTGAATGAGAGAGTGAATGTGTGAATAAGTGCATGAATGAATCACTGAATGAGCAAATGAATGAGTGACTAAATGCATGAATGAGTGAACAAATGCAAGAATGAGTGATTAAATGCATGAATGAGTGAATAAATGCAAAAATGAGTGACTAAATGCATGAATGAGTGAATAAATGCAAGAATGAGTGAATAAATGCATGAATGAGTGAATAAATGCAAGAATGAGTGAATGAAGCAGTGAATAAATGAATGAATAAATGTGTGAATGAGTGAATAAATGCTGAATGAGTGAATAAATGCATGAATAAGTGAATAAACGCATGAATGAGTGAATAAATACATAAATGAGTGAGTGACTAAATGCATGAATGAGTGAATAAGGGCAGGAATGAGTGAATAAATGAATGAATAAATGCATGAATGAGTGAGGGGGTGGGCGAGTGAGGGGGAGGGGCTGACAGGTGCAGGGACAGCTGTGGAGGCGGCACCCACCTTGTTGATCCAGTCGATGTAGGCGGACACCCGGGTGTAGACTACCGGCTTCTTGCGGGTGTTGCAGCCCAGCGAGGAGCCAAAGCTGACGATGCCAAACACCTCCCAGGAACCGTTCTCCAGCTGGCAGTTCAGTGGACCACCGGAGTCCCCCTGCACCAGACCAGGAGGGCATCAGCCACCAGGCCCCCGAGAGGCAGGCTTGGGAAGCAGAGCTGGGTTGGGGTGGGGGATGTGGGTTGTTTTCTCAGCCTTAGTTAGTAGATGGTTTTGGCCTCAGCCTGCCCATGGTGAGGGAGGCAGAGGAAGTGTGGTTTGGGGCTGCCTTGGCCTTGTTCTAGGAGGCCCTGGGGTGTCGGACTAGCTCTTGGTTTGCTGTGTGATCTCGGGATGATGTTACACCTCTCTGTGCCTCAGTTTCCCTAGCTGTTCAGGTCTCCTTGTCTAAGACTCTGTGAGCTACTCAGAGCAGTGAGGATGCTGGCAGCTGTGCCATAGGCCTGGGAAGGTGGGGAAGGAGGGTGAGAATGGGGAAAGGGTTGTGTGTGTGAAAACAGGACATTCCCTGATTATCTTAGATGTTTTATGGTTCTGGTCTCTCTGGACTGGTGGAGCAAATGGCATGGAGGAGCATGTGTAGAGACTTCAGTGAAGCCTCTTCTGCATCCTTTAAACTCATTTAATCCTAACCCTGTGAAGTGGTTACTGTAACTCCGTTTTACAGATGGAAAAACTGAGGTCAGAGGTTCAACGGCCTTCCCAAGGTTCCGCAGCTCATAAATGGTGGGACTGCGGCTTGAACTCAGATACTCATGCTCAATGCTCTCACCACAGTGCTGAGCGGGGGGCAGTGATGGGCTTACCCTGAGCCTGCTGGGCCCAGCCAGGGCTTGCTCAGTCTCCTCCCAGAGGAAAGGTTTAGTCCATTGCACCTCCCTTTGCCCATGTCCACTTGGCCACTTAGAGTAGGGACAAGGTGCAGAACCTAGTCACTCACACTGCAGGCTGAGATGATGCCATCGCCCCCAGCACACACCATGATTTCCGTCACCATGAAGCCCCACCAGTCAATCCTGGAGCACGTGGCGTGATCCACCACACGCTGCAGGCCCTGCTGCAGCTCATCAGCAATGGGGCCGTTGGCTGGGGAGAGAGTGAGCAGTGACCAGGGAGGCAGCCGGGCAGCCCAGCCCAGCCCAGCCCAGCCCTGCCCCTCCCCAGGCCTTCAGGGAGCAGAGGCCTGGGATGGGACCCAGGGGAGCGCCGGCTGAGACGCTGTGCAGACCACACACCTGCCCTTCATCAAGAGGCAAGCCCAGGTCCCAGCGGGCCAGGAGCAGGCTGCCAGCAGAAGGAAGCTATAGTGTTAAGTTGTCTTTAAATTGGATTGAAATTAAATTGGATAAAATGGGGGTTTAGTTGTCAATCATGTGTCTTTGCTGTCACACATTAAAAAGCCTTTCTTACTCCAAGATTTTCTTTTTTTCTTTCCTCCTTTTTTTTTTTTTTTTTTGATACAAGGTCTCACTCTGTTGCTCAGGCTGGAGTGCAGTGGCAAGATCACAGCTCACTGCAGCCTCAAACCCCTGGGCTCA